GATCCTGCCGCCGCAGGCCTTGACACGCTCGCTCTCCGCCGCGTTGCTATGCAAGCTGTGCTTCTTTGACAGCACCAATGGAGACCCCGCACGACACAATACTATCTCAGTATCGCCAACATTACCCGTCACTAGTGCGTCGTCCACAATCATGGCGACGGCACACGTGCTGCCAGACTCACATTTGCCATTGGCACATCTTGTGAGAAAATCCGCCTCAGCCTTGGCTATCCCATCACGTACCGCCTTCTCGGGATTCGTCATGACATCTGGGTGACTAAGAATTAATGTGTGCAAATCATCGCGGAGAAACTCGGCGCATTGCGTGCCACCATGCCCGTCATACACGGCAAAGAAAGGGATGGCCTCTGAGACCATGGCGTGCTGGTCCTCCATTGTCTTTCGGGTGCCCTGCTCCGACGTCACTCCATACTCAAACATGCTTCACTGTGACCGTGTGAAGAGGTGTATTGCCCAGTTGTTGCGGTTTTAGTTATATCTACAATTCTGCTAATTAAGTAACGGTGACGCTGAGAGAGGAACCCAAAAGAATTTGGAAAAAAATTAGACAAAGACGAAGACGAAAAAAAAAAAACGGCAACGCATCCAAAGGGGCGAAGTGTTACATTTCTTTCCGTATACAAAGTCTTTACTGGAAGGGGAGAAAAAAAAAAGGAGAAAGAAATGGGAGGGGCACTAAATATTGCAGGCAATTTCTTTTCATAAAAAAGGGGGGCTCAAAGGGAAGGGCTTGAATTTGACACTGACAAAAAAAAAAAAAAAAAATTAAAAGGAATTCAAACACGTTGAATTAGAGACCGGTTGAATCAATCCACTTGCCACACAGTTTGTATCTTCCATGACTTACATACGTGTTCTTCTTACCCCTATATTCAACCGTTATGCATGTAGTAAACCCCGCTTTCGCTCAAGGACAAGAAGAGTCTGCGATATAGTAGAAACCCCCATGAGAGACATCCCCACATCAAGTTCCTCCCAACAACTGCAAAAGAAAGGTTCAACCAATTTTTCTTCCAACTCACTGGGGAGTAATAGTATAAGGTCATGCAGGTATTCAAGGGTAGTGCAATTTGCTGTGACTCCATCAAAAGTGAAAACATATCTTAACCCGAGAGTGTGTGTCAGGTACCTCCATTCGTTGAGAACTCGCTCCGGAATGGTTTTGGAAACGTGCTGTGCCCGGCAAGACAAAGAGGCTCTGCCAGAACGAAATATGTCGATAAATGACCTCCCTCTGTGGTTTTTTAAAGCAACCGGCCTCCCTCCCTTTGCATTATCATGCTCCAGTGCACTGATGTGCTCAGACTGGCTCTGAATACAAAACTCACGTGATTCTCGAATCCTTTGACAGATTATTTTAATGGCCTCTTGCAATGCCTGAGTTTCTTCCGGTGTTGGCGGCGTTGAACGCAAGACAAACACAAACTCGATAAGCACGCATATGTAAGGAATAAGCAGCTGTTGCTCAGGAATTGTCGAGGAGGAGGAAGAAGATAGTCCAGTAAGTAGTTGGGAGAACACTTTCCCAGTGGAATCAACCGAAGAAAATAAGGCTATCACTAGGTAGGATCGTCGCATCGCCCTGAAACAGAGCAAATATTCTTGTTGTGAACTGCAACGATTCATTGTGGCGGAAAGTTGAACAACGACACCGTCTAGTAGGGCAGTGAGAACCGTATCGATAACACTAGTGCGAGTCCCTGCTTCTGTATTGGGGTCAAAATTTATACCAAATGTTGTAGTAGCTATGGAATGATGTAATTCCTTCCAACCTGATGTTCTTCTGAAGTGAATAACATCAATGTATCCAACCTGAAGGAGTTCATGTATAAGCCTGCTTACCCAGAGTTCAGATGTTGTGTCTGGCAAATTAAGGCGGGTCGCAAATCCACGTGGGCCGAGATCCACGCATATACGCAATATCACATCTACAAGACCTGCTTGCACATGCTCCAATGAAAAAGTTGTCGTGCAAATAGTCACAAATGTTTCACAGGCCAATTCTAAAAGATGCGAATGACGACGGCAAGCTAAAAACATGCTTTTGAGACTCAGTAATGCCAATAGTTTATAATCCACAGGATCGATAACAGTTTCCTGATCAACTGGGGCATGCATAAGAAGGTTAGACAAAACAGGTCTTAGAATGCCAGTAAAAAGAGATTCTTGTATATTTGTGGCAAATGCTACAGCATATTGGTCAATCAAAGCCCACAGTGAACATATAACATGCGCTCTAACTCTCACAGAAGGATGAACCAATATAATTGGAATCATTCCTTCTAATAATGACATCCATAAATGATAATTTGTTTTCACTGTAAGGCTTTTTGGCTTTTCCAAACATTGATATGAAGTGATAGAAACCATCGAGAGTGTAACCCGTGGTAACCCCACCATAAACTGTGCTGCATTTGCCTCACTATCAGCATCTTTAAATCGTCCTGCCCATTCAGATACAGCACTAGCATCCCGTACATCTTCAGGGGGAGGTTCTAACCCAAACTGAAGCCAATGACCACATGCCCTCAGGTACGAAATACTTAATAAGGCAACCTCTTCGTCCACATTATTACACGCAAACGATGTCAAACAGAACACTAAATCCCTGAAACAATCTTTCATAAGGGCAACATGTAAAGTAATAACAGATTCACAAAGATCCCAAGCTGATTTAACCACGTCTGGTATCACTGCACAATGGCTTAAAATGGAAAACACAACATTCCATCCACTGGCCAAACGACTGGCACGAACTTCTACAATTTCTGATATCGCTTCAATCACTTTTTGGCGAATATTGACATCTTGATTACCCATTAAAATGGCTTCAAAGGGCATAAGAACCTCTTTTTGAAACGAATAATTCAAAAGCTCTTCACGCATAAGGTACCTAAGTGCAATAATCCGTAATCCTCCTAGAGACGAACTTGCAATATCAAACGTCATTGTGCCAGCCACAGTAAAAACATTGGTGGCATTGGTCCATAAATCTCTCCACTGCATTCGCGAACTAAATGAAGCACAAACTGTCAAAAAATCCAACAATTTAGTGAGAGCAAATGTTCGTGATGATTTTAGTTCCTTCTCACATACAGTAACCAGTGCATTTGACATAAAAACTTGTGTTTGGGATGGATACACTGTGGCATCAAATAAACGTTCTAGCCACACATCAACAGAAGAAAAGCATCTTAACGCTCCCAAAATGGCAATGCGTTTTTGTATTGAACCTTTATCAAACGAAGGAGGAACATCTTCTAAATTTTCGAACCAAGTATCTGGAGGAGGCTTGTCACCTTCACCTAAAAGAGGCTTCCGGCACTGCCTTCTCCAAATCCCCTCCAAGCCATTGGAGATCAGGTCTAAGATAGAAACCCCAGTATAAGCCACGCACCAACCCCTTGTAGTTAATGAAGCACCATTTACAAGAAACAAATTCAATACTATCGCCAATAATTCCATCCTTGGTTTTGAAATCCCATTTGAAATGCTCACACAAGCTATTGAGCACTGAGAGAGAACCACAACTTTTGAAAGTTGGGTAAGAGAAAAAAGACGCTCAATAAGATCTTCCGCATGAGAAATATTTCCAAAATCACAGCATACACGAATAGTATTAACCACACCTCGAAGAAGATGATCAAAATATTCGCGATTTTCGGGTGCATCTACATATCTTTGCGTCAGATCATGGAAGCCTTGTGCATTGGCAGGCACGACGGCGCTCTCTGCAATAAAGAAAAAGTCTTCAAAAGCGCATAAAAGACATCGCATTACATAATCTACAGTTATCCCCCACATTGGAATGGCATTCTCGATTCTTGTGGCTTTCACAAAACTAGACTTCAAAGCATTGGCAGTATCCAATGCTTCTATAGCATCTTTTAAAGCATTACGAAGTTCAGTTTGATAAATTTCCTCTTGCTTTCGTCGCAGGGTATTAAAAAGCACATTTCCTGCAGCATCCAAAGGTATCATAACAGTATCAGTTATTCTCCTTGCAACAGGTGCAAAGTGTTTCAGGATAGGGATGGACTCCAATAAACCTGAGGAAATTTTGGTACTTGATGAAGAATTATTTCCGGAAATACTCCCAGAAAAGGTTTTACATGGAACAAACTTTGAGGGGCGAAGCTTAATTTCATCAGCTACAATGCGTGCATAAATTTCCTTTAATAGAGTTGAATCCACATCATTTCCCTCGTCAATACCCCTATTATTGCGGATAAATTCTTCAACGGTCATCTTGTTTTTCACATGCGGGCTATGGGCGTCAGTATTCAACATGCAAATCGAGAATGACAAAATAAAGGCCGTATTCGCAGAATGAAATGCTGTAGGATTTTCCTTGCAATACTGTGCGGCAAAAATCTCCATTGTTTTGTCGACAACCTCAGCCTCGCCAAGAAGTTTAAATCCTCCTAAAAACAATCGAAGTGCAGCATCAAGCGTCAGACCAGCAAAAGAATGTTGTTCAATCCACTTCACAAAAATCATGCGACTGTGAGAGTCTCGAAAGCTTTTTGCAAAGTATTCTCCAAGGACCAATTTGTCAATATAATCTTCCTTATCCTTTAAAAAGAGAGCAATCGATTCGGCTTTAGGCACATACTTTTCCTCCGAATTCCCACAAGTTTTAATAAAAGCATCCGATTGTGTTTCTGTGTCTTTCAATACTCCACTTGGAGCAGTATCTTCATTGCCTTCCATAGATGCATCACGTTTTGACTCTTCCTTCTCATTTACAATTGGAATCAACAGAGGCTCATTGGCTAAAAAATCAATAGCGGCCTTTGAGTCTTTTACGTCATTCATAAGGTACGTAAACTTACGAAATGCATCCTTTACTCGAAGGGCATAAATAAATGAATCATCTCCCTTTTCAACAGAAGAAGAAAAAGCCATTTCTCCTTGATTTTCCACTCGTTTATCCAAAGATTTAGTAAACTCTGATATCCCTGATTGATCATTGGTAGATGACGCATCTGCTAAAGATGTGTTTCGGTCACATTCAAATCGTTCTATCCATTGAAGATTGGAATATACAACCAGTAAAAGAGTGGTTAAAGCACTTCGTTGAAGCGACTCTGGAACAGAAAAATCCAACAGTATCCTTCCAGAGATGGCCTCATTACGGTCGATCACGTCCTTCGTCTTCATACGAAAAGGCAATGATAAGGCAGCCAAATACGCAATCATCTGCTCGTAAACACTTTGAGAAGAAGTATTACAGTCGTAGTTTAAGAACAATGCTATAAGATTTTGTGGTTCTTCAATATAACGACGAAATGCTTCCACAACAATAGACTTTTGTGTCAAAGAGCTTGTTTTCGACTCCAATACTCGAAAAAACAGATGACGAAAGATGGTTTTAGTCTCATTCACCATTAAGTGTCCAAAGGTCATTGTGCACGTCAATAAAACATTCACTGATAGCCGAAACGCATCCACGTCCTTCAATAATGCGGTAGTTAAGGTACAAGGAATAACTGTGGATTTCACGGTAGAAATGATCACTGTTGAATTCCTAAACGTGGGACCCCCATTTACAGTTAAATGGAGAATAATACCAAGAGCCGTAAGTAACATTATAGAAGTCTCATTAGGTCCAGTAATACGCCCTACAGTATTTCCTTGATTTCTAGGAGAAGT